CTCACCCTCACAAAGGAACATGTCCCAGACACGCAGCACTGAGGCCCACGGCAGAGTCCGAGAGAAGGCACACATGAACCACTCGGTCATGTACAGGATGGGCTCCAGCTTGTGCTTCTTCAGGTGACGGTGGGCCACAGGAGAGACCCGCCGCAGCAGAGCGTACAGTATCTCCCCGTCGAGCTGGATCGCCTCCTGTGGAGACAACATGGAACAGCAGTCATTGGAGAGAGAGAGAGAGCGAGCGAGAGAGAGCGAGAGAGAGTCACAATAATCTTATTGTCTGATTATCTCGTCATCGTGTTATCAGGTTGTTAGCATATCAGCGTGAAGCTAAAGACACATTGGCCTGAGAAATCTAACATCACCACAAGCTACATATTACGTACGTTAACGGACAATTTTGTTTTTGATGCTTTAAGGAACCTTAAATACTGAAACAGAATCCACATGGGCTGTAAATCTGGGGCTGTGTAATTCCTGGAAAAAAAATATTCAGTCCTCTAAGTGTATAGAAAGGCAGTCTTCAGAAACACAGTTTTCTTGGGTATTGCTATATTGTGGGTATACTTTTGCTTACAATAGACAACAAATTAATTTTAGCAACAACTTTAACTACGCACTACTACTACTACTATTAGGTTCAGATAGATAATAATTGACACACTGAACACTGTAAATATGTAATCTTGTTACTCGTTGTGCTCAGATTTTGTCAAGCTCTTTTTGATATCTTGATATCAAAGTCCGCATTGCAAAACAGTGTGACTGTGTCTGCACCCTTACCAGCCCTGTACTGTAGTATCCAGGAAGGTATTTCTCACAAATCTGGACAAGAACCCAAAATGCATCCTAGGACAAAAAGAGGAAACGGAGAGGTAAGCATTATTCAGCAATATTCAAGAGAGCCACTTGATTAAATTTAATAATTCACACTTTTTGTCCTGTTATTCTTCTTCATCAGAGCAGAGAGTGTCCAGTATCAAATGTTTGTTATTTCATATTAGAGGTTTAATCCCTCGTGTGTTCACCTCTGCTGGCATATGCATCAGGAGTACAGCAGCAATGGGAGCCTGAGCCTGACAATAACCCTCTTCAGGACGATGCAGAGTATAAGCCTTCAACACGCGGAACAGGTCCTGCTGCCTGAATGTGTGAAAATAAATTAATTATATTCCAAAACCATATTCAGTCACATTAACACAGCAGTGGCCATCATAACAGGCCTTTAGAAGGCTTACCCATGACCTCCTCTCGCTGCAAACATTTCATGGAAGGGGAACTGTCGATGGAGGTCTCTCTCAATAATATCTACCCATTTAGGATCTCCTGGCTGATCGTCCAGTTCCTAAAAACACAACATAATTTTGTTAGTTTTTGCAACATTATACTGGACATTTATGAGCCATTTCCCACCAACCAATTTGTATTAGCAATTCTCTAACGCAGGCAAATTCTGGAGGTTGAAGCCTCAGTGAAGGCACAAGCAGGGATCACAGATATACGACTGACCTGGAATTTGCCCTGGTTTTGTTCCCTTCTCACTTTCCCCCCAGTAAGGTAGAGCCAGGCCCGGCCACGCAAGGATGGAGGGATCCCCTTCTGACAGCGCTCTTTCACCTGTTATTCAACACAAGCACAATTAGTCAAGAGCCTGAGAGAGAGGATGAGACAGGAAGAACAAGAGAAAGGAACACAGGCATTTGAGGACAGTACTGCAAATACTGCTGCGTACAATACGCCACTGTTGTGCAACTGATAATCAAAGATAACATTTAAAAAAACCTGGCGTGATGATGGAAGGATTACAGGTTTCAAAATGAAGTCATCTTGTTCATCTTATATATTTACAGACTGCTGCTATGACGTCATGTTCCAAAACAGCCCGGTTCACATTTCCATTACAAAAGAAGGAAAGACGTGAGCTCAGACCTAATATATCTAATATACAGTTTATAAATCAGACCTTCTTGTGTTTTTTGGCCATCCACTTGTCCCAGCTGTTGAGCATCTCCAGCCATTTTGCCTCCCGCTGCCTCAGCACCTCAATGGGGATTTCTTCAGCACTGTGAAGGTACGAGACAATTGTCACAGATACAATCAAATAAATTATTTTCATGCCAACTGGCAGTGACCGTACTCTACTGTGTTACAACCCTGTACTGGATGGGAAAGTGGCTCATCTCTTCCTTGTCCACACAGGAAACCTAACCTCAGACAGTGGAGCACTTGCCAACGGCAGCAAAGCACAGGGAAAACAGGAAGCTGTGGGAGAACTTTCCCCTGGTTCAGTTCCCTACAACCTCCTACACAAAACTTACACTAATATCTCACTTCACTACAGGCCCGGTTGGATACGTCATGTTGTTATACACAAGCTTTCCTGTCCTGATTTACCAAACACATGCCAGGTCTTCTTGGCAAGCAAATTGAAACAAACAAATTTAAAGAGCTGACTCACATTGCTTTTTGCATACGTTAGCTAAAGAACGCAATCCCTAAAAATAGGGAGCCCGATCTGCCTGGTTTGCACAGTTCGTCCTGTGTCACTTCTCCAACTCAAGACCAAACCACTGTATCATTTATTTTCAATACAAGCTTAAAACACATGTGTTATGCAGGTCCAAATGACAAAGACTAAAATCTGGGGGCCACAACAGCAGAGGCCCAATCCCTCTTGCACTTAAGCCCATTGATTACCTTAAAAACAAACATTTTAAAATCAAATCTATACTGCTACTGGAGGCCAGTGGAGACGGACCACCAGCACAGGAATAATGTGGTCTCTCTGGACCTAGGTCAATGGTTTCCAATTGGAGCTTGGAAGATAATTGACTGAAAATGGGAAAATAAACACGTTTCTTTTTTTTTTTTTTTGGATAATAATGGACACTTTCCATCTTCATGCTACAAAAGGGGACCATCCCTATCAGTGCACAACTCATAAACACATGACACCTGTCCAAAGAGCTCAGAACTATTAATCTAGTTAGGTGACAATAAATCTATAAACTACTATAAATCAGTGTAACTAGCTAACTTTGTCCTTTGTCTCCCTTTTTCCACATACAAAAAACAATTCAATTAAGAGCAAAAATCACAGTTTTTCCTCCTGGGAGAAATGACAGCTTCTCCCGACGACTCAGTGCAAGAAAACACTCTGAGGAAGTATGAGGAAACACTAATAAACTCAGTTGCCACAAACAATATTTTAACTCAAACATGAGTGTCATTAAGCTCCACTTACGAGTCTCCGGAGTACTGCTGAGCTCCTCCAATGAATCCGTACTTGTCCACCTGGTTGTCCCCGGGGACTACACCGCCGTTTACCGCTGGGTCGGATCCATACGAGCCTCCTTTCCCATTATCTGTCAGCTTATCTGTGCTGCCCCGCAATTCAAGTCCATCGCCCTGCTCAGTTTTTGCCATTTAATCCACATTTACCTCCTAGCAGACGCTGCCCGCTCTACAGTCGGTTCACATAACTCACCCTTACGGCCAATGTTGAAAGCTTAGCTACCACGTTTAAGATCTCCATGAAGACGCCAACCAACCGCCACGGCTAACGTTAGCTACAGTTGCTAGGAAGATTTGCTTCCTAGCTCGCTTAAAAAAAAAAAACACTTAACTTTAGAGGGTTTGTTTGGTGATAAACCTGTTCACGGTGATTAAATAGTTAATGTTCGGGTTAGCAAAAAAAAGGAAAGAAGCACCAATTGGTCAAATTATTAAAGAACCAACGCTAAACTAGCACAGTATCTGCTTGCTAACTCCGAAGCTAACATGCTAGCATCACACAACTGTCAGCTGACACACACACACACACACACACACACACACACACAGAGAGCTATTTATTTTAGCCTGAATCTCTGCTGTCAGCAAGAATGTGGGTTAGCTGGTGGCTACAAGGAAGAGAGGCTTGAGGCAGATTAGTAAACAAAACATCCATGGCATCCTTTAACTCTGCACTGCCATCTACTGCTGGAAACCACATATTCAGGTACAGTATGTGGCCCCTGTTATTGATTAGCTTTTTGTGAACTAACTTCATTATACTATGGTTTGTATGTTCATATACTTCTGAGATAATTTTCATGGTATAAAATGTCACAGTGATTTGTCTTGAGTTTATTTTGTGATTTTAAGTTTGAGGGGCTGAAGATCACATGCATGTAGTTCCTTTTTAGTTTAAAACTCTGTTTGTTAGGTAGTAGGTACTTTTAAAAGTAGCTGTGTTCAGGCTACTTTCACTCACCAGTGAACTAGAGAGATGTGAAGAACAGGAAGGGTGAAATTAACTTTAATATATTCTACTTTTGTGGTCCCTGGTGGTGAAAGAAGTACTTAGATCCTTGACTCAGGTTTAGTAGTAATACAACAATGAACAAATTACAGACAAAAGTCCTGCTTTCATCATTTTAATTCAGCAAAATTTACTTTAAATCTCAAAAGTGAGAGCACACATAAGCAGATTGGCCTCTTCCAACGTGCTATAGTGATATTATTGGATTACTGATGCATTATAAACAGCTTGTTATTGTTGTAGCTGTTTTGAGAAGGGGCCAATTTCAACTGCAGTATACTCCTCTGTACTTTGACGTATTTTATTTGTTGATCATGTTTGTAAAAGATTCCCTCAGATAAAGTAGAGTAACAAAAGCAAAAAATACCTGGTACATGCTTTTGTATACATGTAAACTGTCATTGTTACTTAACTCTGGATGTTTAAACATGAAAAAGCTTTTATACACATTATCAATAATTTAAGCTATAAAAACTTTGCTGCTGCTGGATTACCTCAGTGTTGTTTACCTGCTTCAGTACTTGCACCAACAAAAGAGGATCATAGCAAACAAAATCATAAAATACAAACCTTTTGTCATGTGATATTGAGGATACAGCCACAATGGAGTACACTTCATTAAAGTGCAGTACATCGGTTTCTGAAAATGAAACTCTCCAAACATGGAATGGCATCATGAAAATACTCAAACAAATTTAGTATAAATACTAGATTCTTTATTTAAATATTGTACATATTTTAAAACATATTTACATAAATTAGACCTGCATTGTTACACTGTAGACATAGCTGTGTCTTTCATACACACAAACATTGCTTGCTGAAAAGAGGACAATCATACCATACAGACTGCAGAAGCACCTTTAAGAACGGCTTTACAGGAGATAAAGACGGGCACACTTCATTTACATCAAACACTGGGCATCATGACTGAGACGAGACAAGCTTGCAATTGACAGGAAAGGCCTCTTGATTACAGGTCTAGCTATTTGTTAAGGCTGAAACTGTGCTCACCATCATACTGTATGTTCACAGCACCATTACCCATCTCACTACTCCTCCTCCTCCTGCATGTGGGTTACATCTCTGTGACAATTATAGGGCTATCTTTGAAGTAAATACAAGTTAAGAACCTTTATACACCATCTATAAACCGTTCTAAAGACAAGAAGAGACTACAACTGTGTAAAATTCACTTTGTTAGAGGGTGCCAATAGCTGAGACAGAAACCATGCAAAAAAGAACGGTGCATACAGTAAGACCAATAAGATTGTAATAATTGTCTCTATTATGTGTACGTGGAAGAAACACTGTGTTATCTTTACAGCAGAGCTTACAGAGTAGTGCCCTAATCATGTGTTTATATATGGCTTTCCTTCTTTGGTTTCATAAACCTGTCTTACACTTTGTTGCAACCAGTCACATATAACTTAAAGATTATGATACAACTTTTGTTCTGAAAAAAACAACTGTAGGCATAAAAAAAGACATTTTAATGTCCCACTGAACATTTCCACACAGACTTCAGGCCATCACACAAGATTCAGAGCACAAGGAATTTACAGTATTGCTGTATGATGTTTGTAACAACAAAGTGTAATTACATACACAAAGAAGATGTGTCTTTGGTGCACCTGCGTTTTAACTGTAAAGACATTGTCCAAAACCACTTGGGTGAGCTGTTAGACATAAAAGGGACACTATCATGAGCAGAACAGTTTTATCAATGTCTTTGATTAATGTCAGTCGATGCAGCACACATTTACACACACACACACACACACACACAGACGGTGACCATGTTCATGTAAATCATGTCAAGTCATACACAGACATCTGAATTAAAAATGAGAAGCAGCAAACGAAAGTAGAGGGAAATAAGGAACTGAGAAATAAAAAACAAATTTCTTACACACGCACACACACTTCCATCCACCCAAACACACCTGATTCTCATTAAGATCGTTGGATCTGTCATCCATCGCACATATTTCATGTCAGCAGACTCTTCAAACTCTTAGCATTCCCAGATGCTAGCTTTAGCTTTGTGAGATAATACAAACAATACGCCACACACACACACATATTCCAATAACAACTTCTCACATGTCACACACACACACACACACACACACACACACACACACACACACACACACACACACACACACACACACACACACACACACACACACACACACAATCTCAGAACAGATCTGTTTCATTTCAGCGAGTGGAAGTGTGGGATTGATAAAGCTCACTTCAAGATTAACATCTACACAAGAAAATATGTTTATGAATGCATGTGTACATCTTCCAGGACAGTAACGAAATAGCGATTTGCTTTAACGACCAAAGCAAAGACGACAGAAAGGCCGAAACCCTAAAAACACACAAATATTTACAACTTATCAGGATGTGCGCACCGTCAGACCCCACCCACCAGCCAACTGACGAAACCTGATCTACCTTCACATGTAAGCTCTAACGAGTGTTTCCCTTTACAAGTTCCTTTGATCTGAGCAATTACTAATGAACTTTTCCATCGTCCACATTCCCAAACCCAAGACACTGAAACCCAACTCTTCAATCCCACTCTCTAATAGCGTCCCAACATCAGCTTCCTCGGTCCCTCTATATGCTTTGTCCAAACACATTTACAACAACAGACAACAACTGGGACAACAGACAGCTGGGTTAAATAGTCAACTCTATGACTACTCTCCAAAACCATGGCTTACTCCTTACTCACCTTTTTATACATAATGGCTACCAGGTTTTAAGAACCTCAGTCAAACCAAACTGCACTGTCTCTAAGTCTCACCACCGAAAAAATAGTGTTTGATGCCACACAATGAGATATGGGAGACTGAAAGGGATCCCTCAGCCCGTCATACTCATCTCCTCCTGCATCATGATCAACATGAAAATGTCCAAGCTGCCTGCTTCCCCCTTGACCATTCAAGCACCAAAACAAAAACAGAGGAAGAAAACAAAATGTACACGGGTGGACGTCAGTCCTGCAGCGAGGAGTGTGCGTCGTGTCGGTGGGCCCCCCGTCAGCCCACAGGATGCAGTGCATTTTTGGGAGGGCTGCAGGTGGAAGACTCAGGCAGACGGGAAGGAAGGACCAGCCCCAGAGAAGCACACACGCACTCTCACACACACTTTTAGTCTGTATATTCAGCCACAATGGACAGCAGCACCGTGATATCATCTGGCTTCCCACCTGCAGGACAAGACAAAAGAGTGTGAGAAACTGCAAAGTAGGCCTTTTCTTCCCTTAAGTGCAGGGATATTTGTAGCTCACTGACACTGCATGCTGGGAGCATAACGTCACGCTTCTATTTAGCTTTGGCCTGGACAACGGGAGCCAAACTAAAGGTGTGAATGCACTCCAGAGATAGCACTCAACTTTTGATAAATATAGTGAATAGTTTTACATAAAATATTTTAACAGACAATGTTTATGCAGCTTAAACACATTTGCGATATGTATGCTCTTATTCATGAAGCCAAATTATAGGAATTATGAGTTAAAATTAAGGTTGGAGGCAGGAAAAAAAAGATAGAGAAAAAGCCCATTTGGTTGCACCGCTTTTTAATAACATCTGAATTACATATACTGTTTAAAGCATAGCGTTTTAAAAAGGACCAGCGTGTAGGATTTAGTGGCATCTAGCGGTGAAGGTGCAGACTACAACTAACTAAACACTTCCTCTGTCTGTATTTGACGACTTGGGAATGAGAACGCGCTGTGGAGTGTGTTGTAGAAACTAAGGTGGCTGCCAAACTCGCAAAAATTCAAAAGGTCCTATCTACAGCCAGTGTTTGGTTTGTCGGTTCGGGGCTATGGTAGAAACATGGCGGACTCCATGTAAGGCGAACTGTGGATAAAAGCGGCTCATTCTAAAGTCACACGATTCCTATATTTAATTGATTATACACCAAGGAAAACATACCCAAGAATATTATATTCCATTTCTGCCAATAGATCCTCCTAAATGTTACACAGTACTTACCTCTTACATTCAGACCATTGTCACAGGCAAACTGTGCAAAAGGGGACATATAGTTGGGGTCGTAGGCCAGATCATGAGCTTGCTTTGCAATGCTCTGTGCAGTCTGCAGGACGCTGTCATAGTTTGTAGTCTGAAATGAGCAAAATTAAAAAGCATTAAAGAGGATTTATTACTGCAGATGTGTTCATGTTATAACTAGATACAGTATATGTGAAAGCATGAGTAAGAAGAATCAGAAGTGACACCTTGAGTTTTTTGAGCTCCTGAAGAATCATGTAGTCTGGCATGTTGTCAAAGAGGCCGTCGCTTGCTGTCAGGATGATGTCACCAAGCTGCACGTCGAAGGAGGAGCTGTCAGCTGCTTCAGGACTAGAGGGAATGGGGAGGGGGCACGGCAAGATAAGTCACAAGTGAAACAGGAGCATGCAGCGCCTGAGCTGCTGTAAACAGTTTCCAATATGGAATTAGGTAGGTCAGAAGTCACTCTGCCAAATCTCGAGGGTGGACGCGGTGTGGGTGTTTAATCTGACAGCTGACTCGGAGGCAGCCTGCCCTCATGTCCTTGCCAGACGCAGAGAGGTCCTGTTGCTCGCTGGTGCCATACACAAGACTCAAGTTTATTTCCTGGGACCCATTAACCTTATGTTGGGCCTTGGGGTTTTTTTATTTTAAAAGGTGACACACCACAGAGTCATAAATTTACCTTAAAAAGGAACATACACTAGTTGAATTGCAAAATCTTTCCCCCTTTTTATCCCACCAGAAGAACAGGATAAACCCAATGGGGTAAAAGAATCCAAAAGCAGGACCTGAAGGCTGCTCCAAATGGATTACAAAGGGTTTATCCCTCATTAACCAGGCTCCCACTGTCAGAATAAAAATGTGACACCTATCTGGCAAGCATGCATGCATGAGCTTTGTGGGTCTTGTATTTTTCCAATATGTTCCACATTAAGTAGTATTTCAAGCACATTTCTGTACATGTATTTTATTAGGTTATGACGATAACAAAGATTATGGCATGTTCACCTTTGAAATGGATGAAATGTATACCAAAACAAACAGGATACGAGGGGATTTTCCATGTGGGCGATACAAGAAAAGATGATCAAGTAGTTACGGAGGCTATGCCAGGAGCGTGACGCCAAAGCAGGTCTCGTTTATCCTGCAAACAGTCTGAAAGTTCCTACTGCAAATACGTTTGCTTACAACATGAGAGGACGAGGAATGTTTGAACACTCAACATATCGGTCTTCTAAAGAGTAACTAAACCCCCAAACCACTTTTTTCAGCTGAAAACCGATGTATATGGGTATTTAATAGTGTATTTATAGATTTGACAGAAACATTTACAAACGGCTGTGAATGTGCTTGTAGGAATAGTGAATGTTCCTTTGGACTCAAAGACACGGAGAATCTGACAGCAGCTGTTCCCTGCTGGTTAGCTCTGACTACAAGCAGCTGTATTCCTGGTACTCTGAGCAGTAATCAGTCTGTGACGGCGTTACCTCCCACATCATGCCACCATCTCTGGTGCATTTTTTAAGTTTGCAAAGAGGGAGGGAGCTTGAAGAAATTAGGGGTTTAGGTACACTACACAGGTAATTTGCTCCGTACAATGGCATGCACACACACACACACACACACACAACTGTGGCACATTCAGAAGTAGCAACAAAGGACTTTTTTTTATGTATTCTTCACACACGGATGCAACACTGAGCTACTGACCTGTCACTAAGCACCACCCCTTCAGCTCCTGGAGGGGCGATGGACAATTGGAAGGGCGTGTTAAAATAGTGCTGTTGTTCGTCTGAGCGATGAACCACCTCTCCTCCCCTAACGACCAGGAAGCCGGAGTCGCCAAGGTTACACGTGTGTAGCCTGTGACTCCGTCGATCCAGAACCACAATACAGGCTGTGCTGCTCCCTATAAAGCAGAGAAGAGTAAAACAGTAAGATTATACATATATACACACACATACACACACAGAGGATAAAATCTGAAAAGAGAACAGTGGAAAAGAAGATAATGTCACAGGGGAGACTACCACAGTGAAAATTACAACATAGCATTTTCAGTTTGGACAGATAAGAAAAGCACCTGTAGGGTAAATCTGTGTTTTACTTCTGAAGTAACAGGTAGAATGCTGCCCAACCAGTACATCAGTACACAGTACTTTGTGTGCACCCTCCTTGTGAATTTCATGCTTCCATAGTGGGTGGATGAGTTCATTATGCAGTTTGCAAGTGGCCTCTAACCAAGAACAAGAGAAATCAAACTCAAGGGTCATGGACCGTGCCTGTCCCAGTGACTGAGGCTTCGTGTGCCAGTAGTCCAGGTAACCTTGAGCAGGGAAGGTCAAGCACAAACCTCGTCACAGCTTCCCAAAATAAAAGTAGGTCATTTGACAAACATCGTGACCAGGGGGAGGAGGTTAACATTTAGCATCTGCGCTCGCTGTGGGTCAGGGAAACAGAGTCTCAGAAGAAATGTGACCTTGGTCACATGTTTGACATGTGCAAGCTTTTAGAAATCTGTTCAACGCTCCTGCAGTGTTAGTTACATAGATTCTTGATCTTTTGGGGCTCTGGGATGAGGAAAACGTTCACCCTGCATTTTTAGCCCCACAAGGTCACTGAGTCTCAACTTCCATGTGTTGGCATAACATAATACAGCCCGATTAGATTGGTTACCTCACAGTATTACACCACTGAGTAAGATGCAGGTCTAAGCCTAAACCAATAAATAATACATTATGCCCAAACATATGCTGTTGTTTTTTTATGCAACTATCATTCCCAACCTTCATGCACCTTTGTGCCAGATTAGAAAAAGAAATTTCACCTGCAAATGTAGACAAGTTATAGTAATATGTTCTACATCTTACTAAGCAACGCGACTACTCATAGTCTGACTCATCCTGCAGCTATGTTATTTATTTCTCAGAGTATGGCTATTCACATGGGAAGTATGACTCACTCCACCACTGACTGTGTGTGTACAATAATATATGATCCGTGTGTAGTGTTGTCTCTGTGTGGACTCACCTAGCAAGGGAACTTTGTTCTGCAGAAGTTCATAATAGCCAGAGGTCAGAATACCCACTGGATTACTGGGAGTGAAGCGTCCCTCCTTCACCAGTCGCTCGCAGGTTTTCATTAAGGTGGCAGAGAACTGAGACGGGTCAACGCCATAGTCACGCCAACCACCTACACCATCTGCAACGCCTGATGGACAAAATGGGAATAATATTTTAATGTAGTTATTGTTGAAAAACGCCAAATATTGCATGGTTCCAGCTTTCTGGATGTGAAGACTTGACTGCTGCTTTTATTTGGCTGATGTGAGAGTAAACAAAACAAGCATTTTTTTGACATTTAATAGAGCAAATGATTTGCCAATTAATCTGGAAAATAACTGGAATAATAATAATAATAATAATATAAAAAAAATAATAATAATAATAATAGTACACACTGACAATGAATGAATGAAAACAACCGGCATTATTGAATTATTAATCATCACAGTTTCTGCCATCCCTTGAAACACTTGCTCTGAAATGATCAGTTTCATTGTGTTTGGTTTCCAGTTACAGAAACCCAGATGCTCCCAAACCACACACACAGCTGTCGTAGTGGATAACAAATGACAGACTGAACTGGAGAACTGAGAAATAAAAGTAGTGTAAGTTGATTGAACTACAGAGATGATGCATGAGGATTCACCAGGACCATATTGAATATCTACTCAGTGCATAAAGTTAAAGAGCCATGGAGATGGGAAGAGCAACCAGTTCAAGTATTTCACTCTTTTTACATGTCCATGACTTTGAACGAGTTTCCCCTCTAATCCACGTTCATGTTATAGTGTATACAAACATATATTAAAAACAATATTGAAACCAAATATTGTTCCCATGCTTTCATTTTCTCTTTGTGGTGGAAGTCCCCTCAAATACCAAACTAACATGACAAAATGGGCCCTGGAAATCTCTTTTTTAAATAACTGTCTTGATAATACACATGCTGTCAATGCAACCACCTCAGTGAACCTAAGAGGAGTTTACTCCTCACTCCACCACCTCTCCATGTCTGCTCCCTCTGTGTAAACACGTGAAGAGATCTTGTTCCACGGGACTGGCTATTGTATGTTTTATATCATCGCTATAATCATTTAAAACTGCCCACTGGTTGAAAACTGTAAAAACACACCGTGTGAGTGTCGACCAAAGCCATGTGATGAGTGAGATATCTCGCTGTGATAACCCTCCTGTCAGCTGCCCGGTGAGGACAAAGCAATCTCACTCAGCTAAGCTAGCAGGCTACAGTCGCTAATAGCAATATGGCTGCCTCCATGCTCAACCATTCTGACCTTTGCAAGACATTGTAATGTTAGGTCTGAGGCGTTGCAACAGGGGCTTTTCCAGTCTAGTCCACCTTTAATGAAGCTCAACTACATATCCCAAGTTTATATGTTTAATATATTGCACTAGCAGCGCGTATTCTTCAGCTGGAGCTCATGTAGGTGAAAGGTCATTCTGTGTTTCACCTCAAAACAACCCGCCAGCGACTCTTGATCGCAGTTTACGGATAAAAAGACGTGACTGCAGAAGAACTCCACACTGGGTCGTCTGCAAGCGTCTGCAAAGGCTCCACGTAAACCAAACACAGCTAACATAAGGGTTGCAAAGGGGAGAGAACTTATGTCAGTGTTTCCCGGACGAGGAGGAGGAGGAGGAGATGGTGGAGGAGGAGGTGTTGTGTTTTCATCCGAGGGGGTCGCTGCACGTGTGGGGGCTAGCTAACTGAAGGTCACCCGAGCAAGGAGGGGGTTTAACATGCATGTGCAAGCAAGGTACGGGGTTTTATAATGCCAAAGAGCTTACCCAACACATCGGCGGTCCTGTGCCGCGCAATGAAGCAGGCATCATCCCCGTAGCACATCCCTTTCTTCAGGATCCCCTTGCGAAAGTCTTTACCGAAGCCATAACTGGCGCTGATCAGGCTGTAGTCCCGACCGTCAGTCTGAGAGAGTCCGCCCAGGACAGCCCTGGCTACCAGTCTGCCATAAGACAGTACGGATAACATTCCCCAGCAACGAGCAACCCCGTCTTGTTTTGAGCACACACACACACAGTCTCTACCCGACCCGGGTCGCCTGTCTGTTAGGCTACTTTTGTTGGATCAAGCCCCGGCTGTCTCTCTTTTATCCGTCCATCCGATCCACACCGGCCCGCTTCCGTGTAAATAATGCTAACGTAAACTCCCGGGCAGTCGCTCACTCACATACAAACAAACACCGCCGTCCGTCCTGACTGGATTAAGATACAGTTGTTGTTTTTTCTCTCTTTATCTTATGTCTCAGGCGTATATTTCATGAGCGCAGTTCCTCCGCTGGGCTCTCTCATTCCCGACATGTTTCCACTTGTGCTCACCACCGGACACGACGGAGCTGCGAGTACGTAACGTTACGGGTGTCTGACGGTTTACAATCCTGACGTCACGGCCGAACGACGCCGTCCAATGAGAGCGCGGCCCGCAGCCTCGTTATGAGCAGCCGTTACCAGATCAGCCCAGAGATCAGACACACTGAACTGCGCATGCTCCGGGTTGGCAATCGTTTTTAAATGCCTTATAACCTGATCTATAATGTGCTATATTTGTGTGAATAACAGTGGTGTTTTATAACTTCACGAGGGTAAACCAAGTAAAACCTACCGAATAAGTCATATATATATGTAAATAGTACGTCATATATATATATATATATATATATATATATATATATATATATATATATATATATTTTATTTTTTATTTTTATTTTATTACCCCTGTTGCGTAGTAAAAGCTCAGGCTAGGTTATGCTTAAATAAGTTAAAGGCTTCTTCAAGTAAAACACACATGAAAACATAACACTTCTTGGTACGACGCTGAAGTTGGCTTCACGGTGATCGCACGGAAGTCAAAGCAAAGTGTTCCCACCACAGACTCATAACAAATAGATTCCCTCCATGGTACTTGTCCGTAGATATAACATACTGTCAGTATATCTGTGGGTACTTGTCGTGCATCGAAAGGAGGGCCTCTTCTAGATGAAACCACCAGTGATGGGAATTACAGCTCGTTTTAGTGATCCGGATCATTTGGCTCCTCTCAGAGTCTGCTGTTCGGCTCCCAAACTGCTCTTCATTTAGTACCACTTCTGGCTTTTATATTCAGCCAAATTTAGCAATATTGTGGCCTGTGATTGGTATGTGTGCACATATGTCACTTAAACTATTCAGTGTAATTATGCTAATTTATAGTTATAATTTCCAGAATAACATTATAATAACATAATGCATGGTTTAAACATCTTAAATAATGGAAAATGTGTGTGTGTAACATTTTATTTATACCATGGTTTGTATGGATACACTCACACGTCGATTAAATTCACAATACAGTTCATGATACAAATTTCTTTTTTAAAAACAAAATGAGATTGAAGTATAACAGATAACTGTAATATTATTTTTATTTCTTCTTCTTTTATTTTGTCCTATATTTGTTATCACATTATAATGTTTTGGGTTATATTTATATATACAGAATAAAATATATTCATATTATATTAACATTTCTTTGTAAAAGTGAAACTTGATACCGCGATTTATATCATGATTCATCTCACCGATTTGTATCACGATATATCTTTACATTACTAATGTTTAGACGTTTCTGGGTTGTATTTAACACCCTAACATTATTATTATTATTCCATCTTGTATTATTTAATTTTATTCCTCCACCAGCTCATAAAGCCGACTCATCCACGAACGACACAACCCGGAAACCTCCCACCTCGATCCCGACTACATAACGGACCCGACTGAGAGGACAACAACGCATTTCGTCGAGTTTCCATCCAACACACATCTAAAGCGACACTTCACGGTAAGAAATAGTGATAGTGTTATATATATACAGTGTTTGTGGGGTGATGAGAGAACTAAACCCTCTGTTATAATATGATTTAATGTCAGTGGGGGTGTTTAAGCGGACGAGCAGCAGCAGGATGATGATGATGATGATGATGATGATGATGATGGCCACTCACTGTTTAGAAATAAAAAAATGTCTTTCATCGTTCACTCATTGTGGTTACAGCTAGCATTATTATTTAATTCATTCATTATTCGGTTAACCTAATGAGAATAATGCTCGGCTTGAATATCTTTGAAACTTGAAGCTGTAGCTCTGCTGCTGTGTGCCCTGTGGACGGCTGGACACGGGTAGCTAAGCTAATATTCTGTTGTTGCTCATTTTGCTCAATTATTCAATAAAATTGTGACACTGTGCTCCTTTTGCACGTCATCCTAACAGGATGGAAAAAGGGCAGGGGATGCAAAGTTCGTTCTTATAATGTTTGATTGTTTTAATGATCCTGAAACACTTTTGTCTTCAGGGCCACGATGGGGAGGCTGTGTGAGATTGCGCTTGTGTCCCTCCTTGTTGTGTTTCTCCTGAACACTGAATCGACATGGGCCAAAAGAGGCAGCAGCAGCAGTGGCAAGAAAACCTCATCTACCAGCAGCAGCAGCAGCAGGGGCAGCGCAACAAATTCAAAACCCAGCCCTCAGAGTCCCAATCGAAACAGCAATCCATATCCTGCTGGTGGAAGTTACCCTTTTCCAGGAGCTGGCAACTCCAAACCAGGAGGATATCCCAGACAAAACCCACCAAGTTATCCAGGAGCCGGTAGTAACCCCAACAATAATCCTGCTAGAGCCAATCCTGCAGGTTATCCAAACCAGAAGCCTGCAGGTGGCTATCCTGCTGGAGGTGGATACCCAGCTGCAGGAGGCAATCCTGCTGGTGGATACCCAGCCGCAGGAGGCTACCCAGCCGGTGGTGGATACCCAGCCGGTGGTGGATACCCAGCTGCAGGAGGCAATCCTGCTGGAGGCAGATACCCAGCCGCAGGAGGCTACCCAGCCGGTGGTGGATACCCAGCTGCAGGAGGCTACCCAGCCGGTGGTGGATACCCAGCTGCAGGAGGCTACCCAGCCGGTGGTGGATACCCAGCTGCAGGAGGCTATCCTGCTGGAGGCAGATACCCAGCTGCAGGTGGCTACCCTAACCAGTATCCAGGCAGAGGTGGCACCAACCAGGGAGGATACCCTAACCAGTACCCTGCTGCTGGCGGCTACCCAGCTGGAGGAGGCTATCCTAATCAGTATCCTGCAGGAGGTGGTTACCCAGTCAGAGGAGGAAATACAGGGCAGGGTTGGGGTCAGCCTAGTGTAAATCATGGGGGTTACCCTGGTGGTTACACCAACTGGAACCCAAACAATAAGATCCTCAGTCCTAGATATGGCGGAGGAGGCTATGGATACGGTAGTCAGGGGATGGGAGGGTCTCCTTTCTCTCGTTCTGTGCAGAACATGGGATACCAGCCCAAGTCTACAGGGTTTGCCAAAAAAGCCATGCTGGCAGCAGGCGTTGGTGCTGTGGCCGGAATGGCCGTTGGATATGGACTGGGACGGTTTCCTCGACCACATTTCAATCTCCGCAACCCCGAAGAAGAGCACTACTACAACAACTACATGTACCAACGTTACGGCACCAAGTCCACAGATGAAAAGGACTTTGGCCGTGACTACGTCTATAAGCCTCCGCCTCGGGCAGAGTCCTACGAAGTCTTCATGGGTCGCTGCATGAATAGGACTGACGTTCTTAAAGACAGCAGCTCTCCCACTACTAAAGGTCAGGGTGGAGGTGATGAGGTTGACGACACCGTCAGCATCGAGGAGATCGGATACCCTGCCCTAATTGAGCAAATGAAGACCAGGCGCTGTGTTGAGCAGTTCATGGACTACTCTTCCCGCTTCCTAGAGGTGCGAAAAGCCGAGCCACAGTCCGGCCAACCAAACATCCAGCACAGTCGCAGCAGCCCTCTCAGCTACGGGGTGACTCAGCTTTTCACTTCCCTCTTTATGCTACTGTCCAGCATGCTCCTTCTCCAGTAAGGACTATTAGCATTCCTCTTACCACACCCCAAAGGGATTTTGTACGTCCTCCATTATATCTGCACGTCGTCATGCTACTAATGTACATCAACTCCAACCACGGCTGTATACCTGAAAGATCTTTGCGTCATATTTAGTCAATCATTATGTTATATAGTGTATATAGTAACTAAAGCAGTCGATTTTAAGAGGCAGCAGTCGGTTTAAAATATTACAGTGAGATCTACTGTTTTTGTGTTGAACAAGTTGCACTTTTTTCTTTTTCTGTTAATTGTTCCAAGAATTAATTTTGCACCTTTCTACTCTACATTTTTAAAAACTGAAAACAGAACAGAGATTCAGGGTATTTAAGTTTAGTTTTGGTGACAATTTATTATGACAATAGATCTGCTACTGTGTAAAATAGTAATGTGACATTAAGAGTTATATACATGTACAAAAACATATAATATTAACATATTATTAATTCAACCTCATCAGTACGGGACAATTCAATTGACTGATGTTCAGTTTGTTACCTTATTGTTAATCAGAAGGACATTTTATTTTAATCAAATATAAATTTACGTAAAGAAATTTTATTTTGACCTTTTAAGTCAGAGCAGACTTTACTCTCACTTTTAGTGCAAGTTATTTGTGAGACATGAGACATAAATCATGTACTCTCTACATGATGATGGCCCAGACGAGACCATGTAATGGTCTCAAGATGAGGCGTGTGCATGTTTTGGTACAAACACTTTGCCTAAAGCTGTAGTATTTCCTGTAAACAAGCATTAAGTCATGACATTGGTGGCTTAGTATTCCACAATAGTTAAACACTTAATAAAATAAGTACAGGTGGGTCATACTTCCTTCTCAGGTATGGGATACTAACACTATTTGTTAGCTGCCTGTAAAATCCTGGATTGCATGTAATAGCCCTTTAACGGTAAGAGGGGGCATCAGTAAATGTGTGTCCTTTTGATGTGCAGCAAATGTCGTCATTAGTGGTGTCGTGGTGTCGCTACCTTGCCTGCAGCTGCTGAGAACAATAAGTGCATTTGTTGACAATAGCGCCTGATGCTTTTAGTCTGTGTAGTGCTCGCTTGGTGAAAGCTGGGATTTACTTGAGGTTTTGAACCAATAAAGTCCACAACAATGCAAGACTCTCGTACTAAACTCTTGCATCTCAGCACTAACCCCTGCTTTATTTCCGTACCTTACCTTACTCCTCACACACAGTCTCTTAATGTCACATCTATCATCAGCCTGACTTATGGCTAAAATTTGTCTGGGAACAGAGGGATGATTTTTATTTCCCCATACCTTGTGTCAAACCTTGGATTTTCCTTCATGTTTTGCCATGTTCAGGTGGCGCTCTAAGTTCCCAGACTTTCCAGCCATATTTTTAAGGCTTTTCCCTGGTCAGCACATCTCTGTGTTGTCCCCCCATCACTTGGATCTTCCTCTTGTACAGTGAGATAGTTATAGGTCAGATGTCGGTGGCTCTGTAATTATCTGTGTTTGCTTTCCCTGAACTCTAGCCTCCCCTGGCTGTCATGGTGTGTATCTCCAGGAATGAAACAATGTTCTCCTTTTTTTCCTTTTTAAAGTCAGTTTAATGGACTTTTAACTCTCAATAGGTTTGTGGAGTTATGTATAGTGAAGTTTATCTGTCTGTGTGATGGTTATTCTTTTACTACTCCGGCTTGTTTTCTTTTTTATCTTACTGGTTTGTAACTTTGCACTTTGTAACTGTGTTTTGAAAAATGCTACATGAGTTAAGTTTGCAGGCTGTCTGGTACTATTTAAGGGATTTTCACTCATGTTAAAACTTTTTCATTTCAATCTGCTATGCTGACAAAGAATACTGGTGTATTGAACTGAGTGTTAAGTCCACGGAACAATGTTGGTGTGTAATAACTTTAAAGTTACTGAACTGTTCAGATACTCCACACATTGCACAGTGTATCAGGAAGTGATTTTTTTATAGTGACGGCCCTTTTACTTTCTCCTTATTCATGTTCATACTCCACCCAGGGTTTTTCCTGTACCTGTTTTGTTCATTCTGGCTGAATGTTTTCAATTGATTTTGAAATTACACGTTCACATTTTCATACAATTTAGGGTGTAGAATATCTTTAAAGTGCACTTATGTCCCTTTAGGATTAGATATTCTGGAAATGTGTCATTGAGCTCATATTAGGATAGACATTTGTGTCAATCTTCTTCTTTGGACCTGCAATTGTAAACACTTTCTGATCAAATAATATGACTAATAAGGTTTGTCATGGATGTTTCTGTGTTAAATAAAATAAGTAACAAAATAATGGTTTCTCTGTGTAAATTATATAATTTCACAAACACTGTCACATATTCCTGTTCAGTCTCTTTTAGAGGACATTTGGACAATTGTTGGTTTGTTCAGTATCACTCGTACAACGGCTTAAAACATTAAATTACCAGTTATATGTTGCATAGAACTTTATTTTATTGCTTTTTGCAACTTTAGATCTATATTGTTACTAAAAAAAAATCTAAACTACAGATTCAATGATTACTTGATCAGAAAAGTTGAATTCATTTGAAATTAATCATTTTAAAGTGACAAATTCTGATATTTGATTCCTCAAATGGTAGAATTAGCTGTTTTTATTTGTGGTACACTAGTAAATTTAATATTTTGGGTGTTTGGTGATTTCCACTTGTATTCACAGGCCTTTTGTTTTTTTTTTAGTTTTCTTATATTTTATAGTTCATTATAAAACAGTATTAATCACTAGAGATATTAATCTATTGATGAATCTATAAAACCATACATAGTTTACAGTATTACCATTTTAAAGGTATAAACACCCTATATTAAACAATAAAGGACTGGACGGATAAATTATTGAAAGGAGCTTTTATTTCATTTGATATGATGATTGATCTCTTTCTCAGGGATCAGATATCAAATGTCTCTTATCCAGACTGCTATAAGGAAAGACACCACATGTCCAAGGGTGAGAAAGATGTTAGTCATGGGAGCCGGGGCAGCTGCATTAACAAAGGCTCTCCAGAGAGACTGGTTGCGAAACCCTTGGCGTTCGTTGTAGTAAAGCCGTTGATCTTGCTCCGAAGAAGCTGTCTTGTGTCCGTGGTGACTCCCAGATCCGTGCTTTGACCTACCGAGGAACCCCAGCCCGTACCCAGTGCCCGTGCCGCCCAGCACCCCGGCTGCCGCTGCTCCAGCCCACTTCAGGCCCTGCTTGGAGAGGCCTTGGCTTTTGGAGGGAGACTCTTTGCTGCCGTCCCCTTTTCCTTTACCCCTGAAGCCGCGCTTACTGTATGCATACTGTGCACCTGGGCACAGAGCTGCCACAAGCAACAGGCAAACCCACAGTGAGAGAAGCTTCTGCTGGCCAGCCATGACTGCAGACCCGTACCCTGCAAAAACACATCTACATGTATAAATAAAAGTGGCAGAGGGAAGCCTGAGGGAGAATAACCTGAAAACACACAAGTGGATTATATTATAATGATATTGCTCTGTCTTATTATTCTTGCATGGTACATTTAGTTATTTGAGAGGCAAACTGAGAGAGGTCTGTAAAGTCTGTTGGCAGTTGTTCAAACTGGCATTAAAGCTTTTGATTTTGCTCACTGAACATCCAAAGTCACATGCTCACCAGCACTAACACTAACACAACAGACATCCAGAACTATCCACATGCTCTGTCAACACTGGGATTAGCTGGGCATTATGTGTGTGATGCATATTTCTCCCTTTCATGATGCATTTGTTTTTCCTGGCTCTGATACGCAGCATATATCACACCATACATCTCCATAGTGTGTTACAAAACATATTCATGATGTACATATGCAGCTATATGTATCATTGCAATGCACCTGGAAGGAGATGATTTATAAAACTTAAAAGCAGACAGGTAAAAAAAAGTGTTGATAGCATCCATTTTGCAATAAATAAATAAAAAAGAGAAGAATCTTAGTTAAATGTTTTTTTTTACCTTTCTGGTTAGTTACACTGAGAGGTCGTGATGCTGGAGCAGATGTCCTGTGTCAAACCACAACACAGCATTTTGGTACCAGTATCATTTCCATACCAACATTGACTCGGAGCCAGCACAGCTCCTCCCTAAAACAAATCCTGCTTTGCTATTGGTTCAAGATCAATAATACAGTACAGGTTGAATGATTTGAGCTGATGGTAGCATTTCACATACAGTTAGTTTTCTCCCATTATTCACCACATGCAAAGGCTATGGGGCTATTTTCTATCACAGGTCTGTAGCAGCTACCACATGACCTGTATCTTTGTACTTCGTTTTATTCATTAAAAGCTTATATATTTATGTCTACATGATTCAAATGCTCAGCAGTGGTAAATTGTTGGTTTGTGTAACCTGTGCCTTATTACTCTTAAATGAGACTTTAGCTGGAAGGATGGCCTGTAGAAAGAGGGTGACAGTCAAAGCACAAGAAGAAGGGTTACTATTATAAGACAGTGAATCCTTAAAGGACCAGTGTGTAGGATTTTGTGGCATCTAATGGTGAAGTTGCAGATTGCAACTAACTGAACGCCGCTCACATATGTATTTGAAGAAGAAATGGTGGCTGCGAAACTCACAAAAAAGGCGAAAGTTTCTATCTAGAGCCAGTGTTTGGTTTGTTCGTTCTGGGCTACTGTAGAAACAAGTCAGTTCAACCTGGCAGACTCCACGGAAGGCGACCCTCCTGCTCATACTCAAATGAAAACATACTTATTATATTCCATTTCTGCCAATACATCCTCCTAACACACTTTAACACAGAATAATAATAATTTTTATGACTAATTAGCACTGTTGCTTTTATTTTAAATTTTATATTATATTTATATTTTCACCATTATATGTACAATCACCAAGATACAGTAAATATTAATTAGGTTCTGGTTGGCTAGAAAGGTCTTCTGCTCTTACTGACTACCATCGAACTCTCCCCAGTTTCTGAACATCTCCATGAGTGGAATATTTATAATTCATATACAGATGGAAGACTATAACAGATGTTTCAAACTATTTTTCATGTATATATGAATCATACTGAGTCTTCAGTGTCATTGTTCCTTTGATGAAAACAGACACGCTGTGTTACTCTATGTGCATCACGATGTTTATGATATTTGATACAGAGGAACATTCTCTTGCTTATAAAGAGATATATTCATCATGCAGAACAAAAGTAGAGTAAGTTAACTATAACTGAACACTTGAACACACAAGCTTCCTGTGTAAAATATCACGCAACAAAAAAGTTAGAACAAGAAAGATCACTGTTCCAAAAACAGACTGCTGGTCAAAAGGCAAACAATTTGGGGAAATTGCTTCGGGTGAAATCTATGAATTTTTGCTTTGTGTCATGCAGAAGACCCTCTTAAGGGCAGATTTGGAAAATTGTCTGTTCAAAATCACTTTTACAATGGCTGAACACATGGAATTAGCCACATAATAAGCAGTTGCGTGTTGACGTCCCATTGCTATCAGAGATCACAGCCTTGTGTGTTGTCTGTGCTGTACACTGGTACAAAAACAAGATAACAACTGCAAGCAGAAATAAATGTTATAACATGTTATACTTTTACTTCAGACGTGAAGGTTTATATATTTCAGCAGGTTTTAGGTCAACATGACAATGACTGGGTATCACGTTTACATAAAAACTTGAAGAACTTAGAAACATAATTATTTTCTTTACAGTATAATACAGTAACAAAGTCTCTCATTTGCCCAAGTTTCAAAGTGGTCAACAATAAAACCTAGATGTGTTCAATGTGGTTTGCATCACATGCTTTTAACTGTTGGGCAAGCACTCATGCTCATCTGGCAATGATGAAGTTTTTCACATTTCCTTCATGTGCAAAATTAAAACTGTCATGCAAAGAAACATTTCTTCTTTGTGTGATTTAGTGAGTTCTGCACATTTCTCTGCATAGCACAGCTTTACAGTAAAAATTAAAGTGTTTGCCAGTTTGTATTCGAATGTGTCAAATGTGTTGCATGACCCAGTTTTCCCTTTTCAGGATGATTGAAGTTATTTCAGGCCTGGAAGCTTGCAGCTGTGCACTATGCAGCAGTACGTATCCATGTACTTCTACAGAGACTAGATGACATTCTCAAAGAGCTGCATAGAAGCCATTATATTTTCATCCTGTTGAGAAAAGAAAACAGACGCAGAAGTTGCTGTTTTAGCACCAAGCTGCATGTACTGTGGTATTTTACATATGGTAAAATGTGTCAGCGTGATTACCTTTTGGCAGGTTTCTATGAATTCATCAATAGTCACTACTCCATCCCTGTTCCGATCCATTTTCTGAAAAATGTCAGACATGTAAAGGATGTGATGATATTCAGATGCCAAGGATCAGGCTGTGTGGTTGCAGAGATAACATACCTGGAAGAATCTCTCCACATGCTCAAAGGGGGAATCGTCTCGTACGCTGGGTAAGGTATACCTACCCATCATGTCATAAATGGAGGTCATTATTGCCATCATTTCCTGCAGAAGACCAGACAGACATACACATCACATCTGCAACAGATTTTGTTCTGTTTTCACATAAATGAGTTTTTATTAGTTGAACGTACCTCTTTAGTAACGTAACCGTCTTTGTTGATGTCATACAGGTTGAACGCCCATCGCAGTTTCTCTGTAACGGAGCCTCTGAGCAACACAGACAATCCTATCACAAAGTCCTGTAAAACCAAGAGGAAGTTTAATTATTAACTTTCATTAAACAAAAATCATAGACCTTTTTCACAGCAGCCATTCTGACATGAAGTAGTAGGGTAAACACAGGTGTTACCAATGATACTAATTAAGGTCAGGGTGCTGCTACTGCGCATGCTGGGTCACTGGAAAAAGCTCTGCTACACTAAATGGAATGGAGCCTTGATTACGATCATTAGTAATATTGGTCTTTACCCTACTATTTCATGTCAAAAAGGCTGCTGTGAAAAAGGCCTACTGTACGTACTTCAAAGTACAACAACAACAACAAACATGCAGTTCCAACTCACCTCAAACCGGATGGAGCCACTTCTGTCCATATCAAACGCGTTGAACAAGAAATGTGCATACGTGGTTGCGTCTGAGAACACAAAATGAATATGCAGGGTTGAAGATGAACAGGAAATCTATAATTACAATACACTAATAAATTTCTTGATATTTTCTTTCACTTCACACAAGCTGTTATTTAAGTTTAACTGAAGATTTAGTAAAATATTAGTTTTGATGAATATTAACCACCTTGATTCTCATTGTTCAGACAGTTTTAACTGCTTGCTACTAGATTTAAAAATAAATAATAGAGAGGGCATTCATTTTTTATGCTTATGCAATACCGGTTTGCATTATTTACATACTGTACCTCCTTGAGGGAAGAACTGTGAGTAAATGGTCTTAAAAGTTTCCTCATCCACAAGCCCACTGGGACATTCCTGTTGAAAGAGAAACATTTGTGTTACGTTATCATAAACCAATTAGATTTTGGTTCTGCCTCAAGCATTTAACATGTCAACTTTTGAAGAACATTGTTTCAAATTGAGTTCAACTGCACTTTCTGCAGCTGCCCCCCTGTCAGTCAGTCAGTTTCAGCTCAGGAATAGCACGCTGCCATCTTGGATCATTCAGATTTGTCATGTTGATATAAAAAATAATCTTGTGTTTTAAATAACTAACAAACATATTATAGGATCAGGTCAGAAAGTGTGCAATAGAGCAGCACAGGGCAGATACAGTCCCTGACTGCAGTGCAGGATTATTACCATTAGAGGGCTCAAAGAGCTGAATATCCAAAAGCTTCAGTGATGCAAAGAAACATTATATTACTCATATCAAAGGCCAAAATGATGAGTCAAATGCAATATTTTCATCTTCCAGGCTTTAAGTATTGTCAGTTCATTGTAAATAATGGTTTTCATTCCATCAAAAAACCTGTAGCAGCTGAAACACAGGTGGAAATAATAACAGCAATGGATCTGCTTTTCCTGCAACGATAAGTCAATATGTCTTGTTTACACTGAATATTTCTCACCACAGCCCATTGTGTGTATTTATGGTCTCAGAAACCTCATAAAACATTTGTAAGCTTTTATTTAATCTTATTTCTACTCCTCTTTAATGGTATTTTCCCATTTTTAATGGCACATTACAATCACTAAAACTAGTCAAAAACTCCACAAGGTACCTTTAATCATGGCATAACAAAGTGATTTTCATTCTCGTATTGACTGGTTGACTGAGTCTATGTGCAAATTGTGACTCTGATGACTATATTTGCATTACACAAATTTAAAAAAAAAAAGGTTTGCAAAGAGCCCCAATTTGCTCTGGATCAAATATGTGTGGGATGAACTGTAAACATTTGTGTCTGACTTCATAATGCTCTTATGGCTGAATGCAGCCAGGTCCCAAAATCTTGTGGTAAGCCTTCACAGAAGACAGAAGAGTGGGGGCTGTTAAAGCAGCAGAACAATGCCCCTAGTTTTAGAGAGAGAGAGATTCAGCAATCATATACACCAATCAGCCATAACATTATGCCCCCTGGGCACCCTGGTGGTCATAATGTTATGCAGCCCCATATGGAACAAACTATGATACATAGTGTGTTCTGTGACCTTTCTATCAGACCCAGTATTAACCTTTTCAGCAGTTTGAGCTACAGTAGCTCATCTGTTGGATCGGACCACACTAGCCAGCCTTTACTTTTCATGTACATCAGTGAGCCTTGGTCTCTGGTTCCTTTTCCTTCCTTGGACCACTTTTGATAGGTACTGACCTCTGCAGACCGGGAACACCCCACAAGAGCTGCAGTTTTGGAGATGCTCTGACCCAGTCATTGAGCTATCACAATGTGGCGCTTGTCAAAGTCGCTCAAACCCTCATGCTGCCCATTTTTCCTGCTTCTAACACATCAATTTGAGGACAAAATGTTCACTTGCTGCCTAATATATCCCACCCACTGACAGGTGCCATGATAACCAGATAATCAGTGTTATTCACCAGTCAGTGGTCATAATGTTATGGCCAATCAGGGTATGAGTACCACATACTCTTGATCACAAAACTGCGGAGATCATGGCAAGGGACGCAGCTGTGTAGTCATGTTATCATGATATTTGCAAAAATCCTTTCAAATCAAAACCAGTTGAGAAGTGAATCTGATGAACAACTACCCCTGACTGTGCTGATTGTTTTCATACATTTTTGAAGCCTCTGTAAAGAGACTGAAGCTCCTTCCTGGTGAACTGTGTCTGGGCTTGGAGCTGGTCGAGGCCCTCAGGTTGGTGACGCACCATGGAGAGTTCAAGGTCGCTGTCACAGCTGTCTGTCAGAGGGAAACAGAGAAAACAAGGGGGTGGAGTGGGAAAGAGGGGGAGGAATAAAGGAGGGAGGAAATACAGGTAAGACAAGAAAGAAAGAAAAATGAAAGGGTAGGAGGGAGTTGAAAATACTATAAAATCAAAATAGATGGGAGGCACAAAAAAGTAAAATGACTGCACGTAAATAAAAATGCTCACCATCTTTACAAACAAAATACAAATTTGAAAACAAAAATGGAGAGGTGTAAGAAGGAAAGGTGAGACAAGGAAATGGGTGGGAGATAAAAGGGGATAAGAGTACGTATCGGATAAAAATGGCGAAAGAAGATGAATCAGGAAAAGATCTACAGTAGATAATTTTTTGATAGAAATGTGGAAAAAATACAAGTAAAGGGAACTTGTAGCTTGCAAAAATAGTGTGGTTAGAGGAAATATGCAGGTATAGGATAACAAGTGGGTAAGAGCAGTTTGTTAAGGAAAAAAGATCTCTAATTGTGGACACTATGGCTCTGTCTGAAATAACTCCCTCTTTCACTCATTCCCTGCATGATAAACACACAATAATTCAGCCTATAATAAGTAACAAATTGAGATTTCACTACCATTTGTGTCCCATGACTGACAGGTGTAGTGTCACTTCACATTGCAACTTATGACACTTAAATAAAATGTTGCAAATAAGGAGTTATTTTAGACACAGCATTTCACTTGCCATAAAATCCCAGGTGTCACTAATAAACATTGATGAAGTCTGCATTTCATCCAAACTAAAACCAATGCAGCCATAATTCATCTTAATAGTAACAGCTGTGTTTGACAAGTCTGTGTCCACAGATAAAAAGGGTTATTATATCAGCCAATGGGAGTAAGGGACATAACTGTTCAAGTTCAGCCAGCTCAATAAAAAGATATGGGGACGAGGTTAATGAAGATGGCTGGGATGAAATAATAATAAAACTAAATAAAATGCACAGATTGAGGAACACTACAGGAGGTACTCACCATCTTTACAAGAAAAAAACACAAATTGAAGTTGAAAAAGAAGAAGTTGAAAAAGAAGACATTGAGGAAAGGTGATGAAGAAATAAGAAGGAAAGAAGAAAGTCACAGAAGCGTTAAAATATTAAGGCCTAGCTTGACATTTAAGTAACCAACATTTACAGTGAGGACACAATTAAAAGATAGATTCACATCTTAAAAACATTAACATGCCAATATGTAGAATTAAAGAGTTTTTGTTTGTTGTTCACTGCTAGTATGAACAGGAGGACAATTACAGCGACCAAAAATAATTTCTATGATGATTTATATTGTTTCGAACTGTTTTAATTAGACTTTAAAAAATGTGAAACAATCCTTCAATATTTTACAGCAGTTTTTTGCGACTGCAGTTACTCATCATCAATCATTTTTATATTACTATTACAGTCAACAAAATAACAATGTTCCAATGCTTTTGACATACAAACATCCTAATTTAACGTCTTAAAACTTTATGTCTTACCTTCCAGTGACAAAGGCTCCCAAATCCCGAACTGTTTGAGCACAACAACAAACAGTCCAATGACAACAGCAATGGCAATTATTTCCATGCCATCCAGTCCCATTGTTACCTTGCATTAGATACCGCCTGTGCAAAAGCCCCTTTAAAAAAAACCTAAATTAACGAATGCTTTTGTAAAACAGATACTGGATCTTCTCAGCTTGTATTCTCATAAACATCATCTGTTACCAGTCTCTTCCTTCCTGCAACCTCCTTTTATCAGTGTTTTTGTACAGGCATCAGCTATTATGTTCACTTAAATGAAACCCCTGACTTAAACCACTGACCAGGAAGAAAAACAGATTGACTGTAGAGCATCCTCCTTTAAGTTAACAGGTTCAAAGTCCATCATGTCCTCTTGCAAAGAAATATCGAATTCATAGAAGCTTAATCCCCCAAAATTATCCAAAGCTATCTCCGCTCGCAAATGATCCATCTCTGTTACAGCTCGCCGGCATTCTATGTCCTGAGTTCATTTTAGGATCTCTTCCACAACTCCATCAACTCAGGGGCTCCACCCCTACTCACTCCATCTCCTCTTACTCTGTCCTGAGCTGTGTGTGTGGTAGTGGTGGTGGTGGTGGTGGTGGTGGCCGGGGGGGGTTATTACTGAAGGAATTTCTTTACTAATAGTCTCTGATTGACAGTCCACGTAATCTTTATTTGCTCAGTCATGTCAAGGATGTAAAGCTGTAAAACCAAGCATTGATCCACATTTGCTGATGGCACGGATATGAACAGCACTTAGAAAGAAGGAGCCGGCCCTGCCCTGTGTGGCGCTGCTCGTGTCTACTGGGTCGTTCAGTGATACACACGGTCAATAACTCAAGAGGATTCTTACTCAGAACTGAAAAACATTGTGGCCGTTGTGATTGTAAAAACTGGTGCTTTGTTTATGGCATTGTAGTTAAGAATAGTAAAACCTAAGTGAACCTGCACACCTCTGAGGTCAATTCTGTAAAATGCTCCACATAACATACATCTGAGAGTATCGGTGGTCCAGGAGGACTTTTTCACAAGTTGTTGTTGTCAAGATGTGAGTGAGTCTTTGTATGATTGTGCTGTACTGGAGGATGATGAGAGTAAAGAAGAATATAGTTCACAACTGATGACTCTGCACAACATAATGGACTCGGTTTAAGTAGGAAAGCAGGGTGGAGAGGAAATCAATTGTTGAGAGGTAAAATATTGGTCTTAAAGAAAGCGGGCCAGAAATGCATTTGGATAGCCGGGGAGGGGTTATGTAAATTGACTCGTCCTTAATGTTAAACATCTTCTGAAATAACTAATGAACTGGGATAGTGCCTCTCCAAAAATACCAAAAGGAATTTCAATTCTATGGCTGCAGGGCGCCTCAAGAGAGGTGTTATTCTGTACCTTTATTTCCCACATATCCCTTCATCTTTGCACTTAGTCTTAGAGTGGGTTTTTAAATTTTAATTATCACTTTTAAAGCCCGAAATTAGTGTGAAATTAAGTTACATCTCTAACCTCACAACTCTCCATCACTGACCCCGAAGTCCTCAAATGCTGCCCAAATCCAGATTAAAAAATAAAGGTGACAGAGTGTTTGCCATCAGGACCCCCTAAACTGTGGAACAACCTTCCAGTGGAGATCAGGATCACTTCTTTTCAGTCTCTTCTTAAAACACACTTTTATTATAGTCTTGCATCTTTGTGATCCTTCTTACTTTTATTCCCCATTGTTTTATTGTTTTAACTCTATTTTTTTTTTACATTATCAATTATTCTATGTATTGTTTACTGATGGTGCTATGATTCTTAGTGTTCTTTCAAGATTGTTGTTGTTTTTACCCTGTAAAGCACTTTGTAAACCCAGTGCAATAAATAAAGTGTATTATTATTATTATTGTTACTGGAAATTTGTATTCAGAATTTGTTCCATAAGATGTTATAGTTTCAGAGTGATATTTTAATTTGTAATGAAAGTTTGATAAGATGTCCATTATATAATATAATAGTTTCTTATTGCTTATATTGCTATATTAAAGAAGAGGATATAGCATTAGGATCTTTTGTGTTTGCAACATTGCCAGTGTCAGTGATGGGTTGTCTAATAAAATGGTGCAACTGGTTGGTGGTTTGTGCAGTATTTTTGACGTGTTGGTTAATCCTACTTCACCAGCCAGAAAGACACTCAGCCATTACATCAACATGCAAGATGCATGAGCTCATGTGGGAACTCTCCTGCCATAAAAATAATGCAGTATTATACTGTTTAATGCACCCTAAGTGCTGAGCTATCCCTGTTCTTCTATTAAATACAGACAAGAGTGAGGTGGCCTAAGCATGCAGACTGCAGAGTGTGCAGCCATCAGTCTCACCATCAGGCTTTAATGACTGCAGTGAGAGCAACATTACAGCTCAGAGCCTGAGGCCATCAATCAACTAAAAAACTATCACACAAGTTCTCGTCACACAATTAAACACCCTTAACTTTGCTCCCTTTCAGCCCTTTTTCTTAGCGCACACATTTAGTGATTCCATCCCTAGGCTTATTGTTTCTGGCACTGGAGAGGCTTCATACACACATCTTGCATTGTGCATCATCAGACTCGGAATCTGATTGTCAAAGATACAGGTTTTTAAATGGACAGCCATTCTGGATGTCATTTTGATTTCCATATTTCATTCATCTGTTGGTTATTCACATATCTTCCTTTAACAGCTGATACGATATGACAGAAAGCACAGATGTTCTCACTCTCTATAATATCATATGACGGTAAACTTCCTCTCTTATACAGTTATTAATGGGAAGAATGCGCAGCAACCACAGCCACAATGGTAATTCATTGTACAGATTGACCTCTTAAATATAATTAATATAATATAATCGTTGGGCTTAACCAACACTAAGTGGCCGATTCACACATCAGCTTCCTTGTTTCCTTTACTAACATCAAATCAGATAACAGCTCAAATGTAGTAACAAAAAAAGGAGATCTTTACAAAAAATACACAATATCCTGTATTTACTTGTGTGACATTTCTGGATGAGTGTGTTTAGGAGTTACTTAACACAGTATTGTAACAGTGTACCAGTGAGTTTTCAGATGTCTAGTGTTGAGTAAACTGATCACCACTGGTAACAAACCCACAACTTCATACACAGTATGAGGTGGAAAAACTCATAAGGCAGGAAGCGGTGTCTGTTGTACAACAAGTACACAGTAATGACAACCAAACAAACATCTAAAAAACTTGCATGAGCTACGTCTATATGAGAGTGAGTGCAGACCACCATCTACTGTACAGAGACAGCAGTGCAGGAGACTTTCAGTTGCTATAATGTCTACAGACCAGCAGATGGCAATTAAGTTGTTATAAAGTGAGGGAGATATTACACCTATTTCCATTTTAATACGTAACTAACAGTCCTGATGGATAAAAATAACAGTAAGTGAGAATAATGATGCTAACACATTGTTTTTAGTGATTCACTTCAATCCTACTGTAGATTTACTTCAAGGCCTCATAAATAAAAGATTGAGACCTTTTCCATGCTCATGTCCACATTAGACATCACATACACTGTTATATCCAAATTGTGTAATATAAATGTTTTTACAGGCAAAATACTTCAAAGTGATGGTTTGTCAGTCATCAGAGCATTTGATCTGTGACTGTTTCCATCAATGTCCTGTCCAATGCACATGGCCATCTGTCTGTTGGCAGAGAGAGAAGTCAGCAAAATGATTCTGGATGACAACAGCAAGTCATTTCTGGAAACCGCAGAGGAGAGATTTTGTCTGCTCATCACTGTGTTTGTTACTCAGGCTTTTGTATCAATGGGGAAAATAATCTAACAATTCAAAGAGATTGTTTCCACATTACTCGAAGTAAGGGAATTATTTTGTGTGATGCTGCTTGGACGGAGAGCAGGAATGAACGTCTGTCCTGCCTGTCAAGTGTATGCACATAGCTGTCTGTCTGCGCTCTCTGCCCGCACAGAGGGGCAATGTCAATAATTTATAGAAACCGAGAAAATGGGGGCATGTAGGGGCAGTCAGTGGAAGACACTGTGATCCTCATTTGAAGAATGTGCCATTTCTTCTTAAATTAAACATGATGAAAGGAACTCCACAGCTGTGTATGTATGTATGTATGTATGTATGTATGTATGTATGTATGTATGTATGTATGTATGTATGTATGTATGTATGTAAGTATGTATGTATATTTTCTGGTTGATTAATCCCATCCTAAATTGTAATCATGGATTGAAACGAGGCCTTAAAATGAAATCCTGTTGTTTTTGGGCAGCAAACAGCTCTCTCTCTCTCTCTCTCTCTCTCTCTCTCTCTCTCTCTCTCTCTCTCTCTATCTGTGTGTGTGTATGTTTGAGAGTGAGAGAAAAAAGAAAGGGAGGGTGAGCACTGGATGGTGATGATAGATCGATGTGTAGTGGATCAAACTTAATTCTGTGAAG